AGATTTCTTGTTCATTTATTTTGATTTTTATATTTGTTGACATATGTATTTATTGCCATTTTATTGTTCATATTTTTTTTTTTTTTTTTTTACAAAGAGTAAGGGAGAGGGATAGTTAGAAACATCGATGAGAAAGAAACATTGATCAGCTGCCTCCTGCACACTCCCTACTGGGGATGTGCCGGCAGCCAAGGTACATGCCCTTGACTGGAATCAAACCTGGGACCCTTGAGTCCGCAGGCTGACGCTCTATCCACTGAGCCAAACCGGTTAGGGCTTCTCCTTCTTCTTAAAGAATGCCTTTAACATTTCATGTAATATTCGTTTGGTGGTGAACTCCTTTAGCTTTTTCTTGTCTGTGAAGCTCTTTATCTGACCTTCAATTCTAAATCAGCTGATAATCATATAGGCACTCCCTTGTAGGCAACTGCTTTTCTCTTGCTACTTTTAAAATTATCTCTGTAATTAACCCTTGGCATTTTTTTTTTTATTGTTTTATTGCTTAAAGTGTTACAAAGAGTATTACATATGTCTTTTTTTTCCCCCGCCCTTGATAATCCCCTGGCCTCCCCTACCCCCCAGTGTCTTATGTCCATTGGTTATGCTTATATGCATGCATACAAGTCTTTCAGGTGGTCTCTTAACCACCCCCCCTTCCTGACCCCCAACCCTTCCCAGCCTTCCCGCTGTAGTTTGACAGTCTGTTCGAGGCTGTTCTGCCTCTGTATCTATTTGTGTTCATAAGTTTATAATGGTCTTTATTATCCATAAATGAGTGAGATAATGTGGTATTTTTCCTTCATTGACTGGCTTATTTTACTTAGCATAATGCTCTCCAGTTCCATCCATGCTGTTGCAAATGGTCAGAATTCCTTCTTTTTTACAGCAGCATAGTATTCCATTGTGTAGATGTACCACAGTTTTCTAATCCATTCATCTACTGATGGGCACTTAGGCTGTTTCCAGATCTTAGCTATGGTGAATTGTGCTGCTATGAACATAGGGGTACATATATCCTTTCTGACTGGTGTTTCTGTTTTCTTGGGATATATTCTTAGACGTGGGATCACGGGGTCAAATGGGAGTTCCATTTTTAGTTTTTTGAGGAAACTCCATACTGTTCTCCACAGTGGCTGCACCAATCTGCATTCCCACCAGCAGTGCACGAGGGTTCCTTTTTCTCCACATCCACTCCAGCACTTGTCGTTTGTTGATTTGTTGATGATAGCCATTCTGACAGGTGTGAGATGGTACCTCATTGTTGTTTTGATTTGCATTTCTCGGATGATTAGTGATTTTGAGCATTTTTTCATATGTCTCTTGGCTTTCTGAATGTCCTCTTTTGAAAAGTGTCTATTTAGGTCCTTTGCCCATTTTTCGATTGGATTGTTTATCTTCCTTTTGTTAAGTTGTATGAGTTCCCTATAAATGTTGGAGATTAAGCCCTTACCGGTGATAACATTGGCAAATATGTTCTCCCATGCAGTGGGCTTTCTTGTTGTTTTGTTGATGGTTTCTTTTGCTGTGCAGAAGCTTTTTATTTTGATGTAGTCCCATTTGTTTATTTTCTCTTTAGTTTCCAATGCCCTAGGAGCTGTATCGGTGAAGAAATTGCTTTGGCATATGTCTGAGATTTTGTTGCCTTTGGATTCTTCTAGTATTTTTATGGTTTCCCGTCGTGCATTTAAGTCCTTTATCCATTTTGAGTTTATTTCTGCGTATGGTGTAAGTTGGTGGTCTAGTTTCATTTTTTTGCATGTATCTGTCCAATTTTCCCAACACCATTTATTGAAGAGACTATCTTAACTCCATTGTATGTTCTTGCCTCCTTTGCCAAATATTAATTGAGCATATTGGTTCGGGCCGATTTCTGGGCTCTCTATTCTATTCCATTGATCTATATGTCTGTTCTTGTGCCAGTACCAGGCAGTTTTGAGAACAGTGGCTTTGTAATACAGCGTGATATCTGGTATTGAGATCCCACCTACTTTGTTCTTTCTCAGGATCGCTACAGCTATTCGGGGTCTTTTTTTATTCCAGATGAATTTTTGGAGAGTTCGTTCTAGGTCTGTGAAATATGCTGTTGGTATTTTAATGGGAAGTGCGCTGAACTTATAGATTGCTTTGGGTAGTATGGACATTTTAATGATGTTGACTCTACCAATCCAAGAACATGGTATGTTCTTCCATCTGTTTATGTCTTCCTCTATCTCTTTTTTCAACGTCCTGTAGTTTTCTGAGTAGAGGTCTTTTACCTCTTCAGTTTATTCCTAGATATCTTAATTTTTTTGGTGCGATGGTAAATGGGATTGTTTTTTTAGTCTCTCTATAAGTTCACTATTGGTGTATAGAAATGCCATAAATTTCTTGGCGTTAATTTTGTATCCTGCCACATTGCCAAATTCATCTATTAAGTCTAATATCTCTTTGTCTTTAACCCTTGGCATTTTAATTATGATGTGCCTTGGTGTGGGCCTCTATGGGTTCCTCTTGTTTGGGACTCTGCTTCCTGGACTTGTAAGTCTATTTCACCTGGAAGGGGAAAGTTTTCTGTCATTATTTCTTCAAATAGGTTTTCAGTATCTTGCTCTCTCTCTTCTCTTTCTGGCACCCCCATAATGAGAATGTTGGTACACTTGAAGTTGTCCCGGAAGCTCCTTACTTTCATATTTTTGGATTTTTTTTTTTTTGCTCTTGACTGGATGTTTTTATACTTCCTCATATTCCAAATCGTTGATTTGATTTTTCGAATCCTTTACTCTGTTGAGTTCCTGTAATATTCTTTATTTCAGTTAGTGTATGCTTAATTTCTGACTGCTCCTTTTCCATGTCTTTGACATTCTAAGATCCTTGAGAGTCTTACTAACCCCTTGATGCTCTCATTAATTCATTTGAAGATCTCATTAAGATCCCTGAGTAACCTTAAAACCATTTCTTGAACTCTGTATCCAGTGGTGTGCATGCTTCAATCTTTCATTTGTAACATGTATCTTTGTCTACACATTTTGGCTGCTTCCCTGTGTTTGTTTCTATGTATTAGGGCAGAGCTGTTATGTTTCCTGGAATTGGTAGCATGGCCTTGTGTAGTAGGTGACCGGTGGCTCAGTCTTCCCAGTCACTTAAGCTGGGTGTGCACCCCAGGTATCAGTTTTTAATTGCATTGTTTTTAATAATTATTTTGATAGGTAATTTAAATAAAATGCTGCATCAAGTATTACTTTTAAAATTTTTACTATTTTTAAAATATATTTTTATTGTTGAAGTATTACAGCTGTCCCCCATCTCCCTGCCCCCAGGTCTTCACTACCTTATTGCCCGTGTCCATGGGCTATGTATATGAGTTCTTTGGTTTACTCTCCTTGTCCCTCCAATCCCACATCGAGGTATCTCAGTCTGTTCCATGCCTTCATGCTTTGGATCTTATTTTGTTGGTCAATACATTTTGTTCATTAAATTCCACAAATAAGTGAGATTATGTGATATTTGTCTTTCTCAGTTTTTCTAGCTCTAATACTTGTATACTATTCAAAACTGTGACTAGAATTATTTCTAGAGCATAGCAAGTTAGGTAAAATTTTGATCTTTGAACTCTAGAGGTCCTAGCTACTTCAGTAATTAGCAGCTGGATAGTAAGTGAAAAGGAGAGGCAGTTGTCAGGCACTGTGCTGGGAGGGCGCGGGAGCGGAAAGGAGTCCTTCCATTATACAACCAAAACAAAGTTGTAAGATCCTCCTCTATCCCTTCAGACTGCAGGCAGACATTTTGTGACATCCTTCTCCACTCAGAAGATCCTTTGATATCTACTTTATCCTGAATAAAATGAGGCTTGGGAGGGGAAGAAACACACAGTGTAATTATAACCCCCAGGGGAAATCCCAGTCAGCCCCTATGCCTCTAGGGACAACTCTATCTGAGGTACTATTAATAAAGAATAGTATCTGCAGCAAAAACAGAACTGAAATATCACCAGCATGCCATTTATTACAGAAATAAGAAATCTGAGACATCCAAGAAGGCCTAAGCAACAAAACAATTTTTATACTCTATATTTTTATATAATTGATGAGTTGGAGAATTTAATCACATTTTATTTCTAAGACAGACTCTTCTTGGTTTCTTTCAAAAGAACAGATATTTTACTTGTGTAGGACTGAAAATTCATTTTCACAACTCTTCCTATCTTTTGCTTGTACATTTTCAGAATTTACTTTTTAGGTTACCATCAAGAAAAGTAAGCAAAATTTTAGAGCTAGCTTTCCTCACTTTACAAATGACGTATCTGAAACCAAGAAGCTGTCTGCCCTCCTCCAGGTCACAAATGGGTCTCTCTGCATTAGAGCTTGAGCCAGGATTAGCATTCAAACTCTCAGCTCCCCTCAGCACTCCCTGAACCACACCATATCCTGTGAATCAGCAAAGAACAACATGACAACCTGGTAAACTGTGGTTTTAGCTTTAGTTTATACATACAAAGCAAAGGACACTTACCTTTTTTTTTCCATTTTCTTGAAAAATCTAAACATAAGGATTAACAAGGCAGATAGATAATAAAACAAAGATGAATTTGGTTGGTATAAACAATGATCGGAGTTGATGTTATTAACCTCTGTGAAATCCAGTTAAAGGAGTTAATATGGTAAAACAAGCCTAACTTATTTTTTTTAAATATATATTTAAAAATATATATTTTTAAATATATATTGATTTCAGAGAGGAAGGTAGAGGGAAAGATAGAAACATCAATGATGAGAATCACTGATTGGCTGCCTCCTGCATGCCCCCTACTGGGGATCAAGCCTGCAACCCAGGCATGTGCCCTTGACTGGAATCGAACCCAGGACCCTTTAGCCTGCAGGTCAACACTCTATCTGCTGAGCCAAACCAGCTAGGGCAAGCCTAACTTATTTTTTAAAGCATACTCTTGATAGGTATAATCAAATGCTACAAAGAAATGGGGAACTACATTACGAATAATAAATAATCTTAAAATGACTTTAGCCTTTTAACAAATTATTTCAATAGTTTATTTTTGTTAATAAGAATATTTTCTTAGTAAATTAAAGTAATTAATTTTATGACATTGAATAATAAGCTAGAGCTAGAAAAGTTAACATACAGCATTATCTTGAAATTTCAAGGGTGAAAAGTGATTGACTGTAATCTCACCTATGATTTTGAATCAATCAAGTTTGAATAGAAAACTGTTTCTGGTTCTTTCATATTTCCAATGTAAAAGTACTTTGACAGAAAAAATTCCACTTTTCTGTGTGTGTTTAAATGATATTACAGTAAAAGGCAACATTTTGATAGCAGAATGTAGCTCGTGAATACATGTGATGTAAATTTAAAAAGAAATTAGCTTTTCCACATGGAAGAAAATCAATGATCAAATAAATTCAACATGATTATGGTGACTAAAGCAAAAATATCAAGTATGATATTTTTTCAGTTGTTTGGCATATATTAATATATTTTCAAACATCAAACAATATAACACCGATATCTACAACAACCAACTAGCACAATAAGATTCTTAAAATATAGCTAATTATTAACATCATAAAAACCTAATTCCCTTATAAATTCTGCCTCTGTGCTGTGCAAGCTAGTCCAAGCACCATCTTTTTCAGGATTCCCCAGAATTCATAAGTATTTCAAAGTTAACTCATGTTGAACCCTATGATTTCTCACTGGGTCTGTGGATCTTCTGAACAGGCCTTCATTTATGGGAATATACACACACACTCATCACAATTTTGAAAAGAATGAAAGGCCTTCATACATGTCAGATTTTAATTTTATCCAGTCATTAATTTTCTGCAGAGTTGTTTTTTCTTGACGTAAAATTTTTGCAAGTTTGTTCATTTTTTCTTCATTTCTTTCTATGTATCTCAACCCTTCCAACTGCAGTTGATCCAGCTTTTCATTGCGACTTTCATCTAGAGGTATGTTTTCACACATTACAGGATTGAATCTAAAATAGGTGTCAGGAGGTAACAGACCATCAAGCATTACATGGACTTCTGTTAAAACAAACAGAGACAATAGGGTGGTTAAGAAAAGTTATTCTACAGTGATCCAATGTTATTTATTTTTTAATATATTTTATTGATTTTTCAGACAGGAAGGGAGAGGGATAGAGAGCTAGAAACATCAATGAGAGAGAAACATCGATCAGCTGCCTCCTACACACCTCCCACTGGAGATGTGCCCACAACCAAGGTACATGCCCTTGACTGGAATCGAACCTGGGACCTTCCAGTCCACAGGCCGACTCTATCCACTGAGCCAAACCAGCCAGGGCTCCAATGTTATCTTTTTAAAAAATTCTATTCTTTTAGGAAAATTATAAAGCCTTGCTTATTTTATCATTCCAGCTAATTAACCTTAGAAAAGGAATCCGTAATAATATACTATAAAATAAAATTCACCTATCAGAATACTTCATATAATTCTGCTAAATTAGGATACTTGCTCTAGTACTTTCTTCTCTCTGTTTTTGGTCATACTGTTAGCCACTGCTGAAATGCCTTTTCAACCTCCATTTTTTTATTTTTTTTATTTTATTGATTTTTTACAGAGAGGAAGGGAGAGAGATAGAGAGCTAGAGAGCTAGAAACATCGATCAGCTGCCCCCCGCACATCTCCCACTGGGGATGTGCCCGCAACCCAGGCACATGCCCCTGACCGGAATCGAACCAGGGACCCCCCAGTCCGCAGGCCGACGCTCCATCCACTGAGCCAAACCGGCCTCGGCATCAACCTCCATTTTTTTTAAAAAAAATTTCTGGAGTTATCTTTATTGAGGCATAATTTACTCACAATAAAATTCACCAATTTTAAGAAAAAGCCAAGTTCTGACACATATACAATGTAACCACCACAACAATCATGACATAGACCATCTCCATCACTTAAAAATTTCCATCATGCTTCTTTATAGTTGGTTCCTCTTACCATTCTCTCTTCTAGAATTTCACATAAAATCATAGCCCTTGTATGTCAAGCTTTTTTACTTAGCAAAATGCTTTTGAAATTCATCTATGTTGTAGCATATATGAATAATTCCTTTCTTTTTACTGCTGACTAGTATTCCATTATACAATTCTATAGAATAAAAGGCTAATCTGCAAATCAACCAAACATCAGAATGTCACTATGACATGCACTGACCACCAGGGGGCAGACGCTCAACGCAGAAGCTGCCCCCTGGTGGTCAGTGTGCTCCCCCTGTGGGAGTGCTGCTCAGCAAGAAGCTGGGTTCAGGGGCTAGCAAGTGCAGTGGAGGTGGTGGGAACCTCTCCTGCCAATGCGGCAGACATCCCCCAAGGGGTCTTGGACTGAGAGGGTGCAGGCTGGGATGAGGGGACCCCACTCCCAGCCCCTAGTGCATGAATGTTGTACACCGGGCCTCTAGTATAGCATAATTTGTTCTCTCCTGTCTAGTTCTCTTCAGTTTTTAGATATTAGTAATAATCCTCCTAGAAATATTTATACCTAAGTTATTTTTGTGGATCGATGATTCTATTTCTCCCAGGAATGAAATTGCTGGGCATAAGGTAAAAGTATGTTCTTTGTTTTTTAAAGAACTACAGTACTGTTTTCCAAACCATTTTCTATACCATTTTGCATGACAACCATCAATACACCAGAGTTCCCACTATTTCACATTTTTGCCAAAACTTGGGATTATCAGTCTTAATTTCAGCCATGCCAAAGGATGTGTGGTGGTACCTTGTGGCTTTAATATTCATTTCCCTAATGACTCAGGATGTTGAGAAGTCTTTCATCTGTACAGTGGGGCCTTGACTTACGAGTTTAATTCGTTCTGTGACCGAGCTCGTAACTCAAATTACTCGTATGTCAAATCAAAAAGTGAACGAGTGAGACATGTGATGCTGGGCTGATGATGTGGCGTTCACTGTGATGTTCGCTGCGCCAACTAGCGGTGGGGTATCTGAAGCTGGCTCGTAACCCGAATTTTAGCTCGCAACTCAAAGCAAAAAATCGGCCGAGAGACGGCTCGTATCTCGAAAAACTCATTAGTCGGGACACTCGTAAGTCAAGGCCCCACTGTATATCTTCTTCATGGAATGCCTGTTCAAATATTTAGCTCATTTTTTTTTTTTTACTGAATTTTTTTCTTCTTTTATAGATAAGAATTCTCTCTATATTTTGGATATGATTATGTATTTCTGGTAATGGATCAGGATTTTTACTAAAATTTATTTCAGTCTGTAGCTTGTCTTTTCATTATTAAAAGTGTCTTTGAAATATCAAAATTTGTAATTTGATAAAGTCTTAATTTTTCTTTTTTGGTTCATGCTTTTTGTGTTCTATCTAAAAAATCTTCACGTACGTCAAGGCCATTAAGATTTTTCTCCAGGGTATTTTTTCTAGTAGTTTTACCTGTTATAATTAGGTCTATGGTCCATTCAAGTTAATTCCTGTATATAGAATGGTCAAGGTTCAATTTTTTGAATATAGTTATCTGGCTGTCCCAGTACCATTTGTTGAAAAGAATATCCTTTACTCATTGAGTTACCTTTATCAAAAGTCTTTTGAGCTTACGTGTATAGATCTATTTCTGTATTCTCTTATTATATACCACTGACCTATGCCTATCTTTATGCAAATAACAGTCCCTTGTATTTGTATAGTTTTGAAGTCAAAGGGTGTAAGTACTCCAACTTTGTTCTTTTTATTTTTTTAATATATTTTATTGATTTTTTACAAAGAGGAAGGGAGAGAGATAGTGAGAAACATCGATGAGAGCGAAACATCGATCAGCTGCCTCCTGCACACCTCCTACTGGGGATGTGCCCACAACCAAGGTACATGCCCTTGACTGGAATCGAACCTGGGACCTTTCAGTCCCCAGGCCGATGCTCTATCCACTGAGCCAATCCAGTTAGGGCAACTTTGTTCTTTTTAAAAACTGTCTTGGCTATTTTAGGTCCTGTGCATATCCATATAAATTCTTCATAAACTAGAGTATAAATACATAAAAGCAGCATTTCATGTTTCTTAAAAATTTCAAATGAGCCCATCACAGGGTTTGCACAAAGTATGTGTTTAAGTATTATGAAACTTACTGATTACAGTTCTTTTTCCCCCCTCAGATTGCTTACAGTAAGAATATTTTATTGACTTCACAATAAAATTCCACATAGTGAAAAATCCAGTATATCAGCTTTTCTTGGGTTATCATTTAATAGATGAAAGTCCTCAGTGGGTTGTTTAAGATCCTTCCATAGGCTAAGGACTTAACTAATAAGATGGTAATATGGAAAATGTGAGATTCAAAAGCAAGGAGCTAAGTGGTAACAATTCTTTGTAAAAATTGAACTGACTTCACATAAGACTTAAAAATAAAATAATAAAGAGATCTAGCAAGTTTGGGGAACAGAAAAAATGAAAATGTAGCCAGCTACACTTTATAAAAGGGGCACATTTTGAGAGGGGAAAGGGAGGAATAGATATATTCAAAAGCTGGGTCTTACAAGGCCTAGAAATTTCAGTGAATAATATTTCTGGATTTGGTTCTAGGTGTGACAGAAAGCCTGGAGGGTTTTGAGCAGGGTAAAAAACATGATTTATGTTTTTAAAAAAATCACTTCAGCTTTTATATGAAGACTAGATTATTGGGGCAGAAGAGTGAAGAACTTATTCTAATTCCAGTTTGCCTCCACATTACTAAATAATCGAATTCTGTAAATATTCTAATTTTCTCACTGTTATGTGTATATTTCAATCAACCTGACTCCTTTTCTTTTCCGTTTTGCAACTGGCAGAATAGTCCCCAACCAAGCCTTTGTGCTAATCCAGGTTTAGATACTTTTCCAGCTGTAAGTAGGCAAAGGCAGCACTAACTCCCGCATAGAGAATAGCCTCTATTCTAGGGTCATTTAGAAGAAATGAGTGAGGAGAAATAAAAACAGAAGACTTGCTCCCATGTGCTTCCTAAGCCTACACAAATACAGACATAACATACTCTTTTGCAGTTAGCATGAGCATATTCTACTAAAAGCTGAATTTTAGAAGTTAAAGTGCTCTAAAATAGCAAACAACTAACCTTCTGTATCTGTTGCACTGTTGATAACATTAGACAGCTTGGCTTTCAAGCTTGTAGATGTCATGGTGTTTTTCACATCACTCTCATAACGTCCAGTGCCTAAGGATACTATACACTCTAGGGGGACGTCTGGCCAAAGACATTTACATTCATGCATTGCTAAGGCTGAAGGGTTATTCAGAAGCAAACCTCCATCCTGCAAAATATAAGTTAAGAAAATATAATACAGAACTCTTAAAAGTGAAATGCTATTTTACAAATATGAAAAGAAAAATTATATTTTAAACAGTTTGAAATTTACTCATAGGAAAAGCTGGATTACATAATAAATTCAACAACATATTACTTAAAAACAAAAGGTTCCTTTAAGGTGAATTGAGTTTACATACCACAGATACAAAGAAGTCATGTAAAAACTCACAGGCCTCACTGGCCTTATTAAGCTTTCATTTCTTATTATGAAAGTTCTTTGAACTTCTTGGATTGCTTTACACATTTTGCTCAAAACTACTGAAATGAATTAAATTATTTTTTAAAGATATATTATCTTTGTTTAATGGTTAATATAGCTCCTATTTAAAACCTAAGAAAAGAATTATGGCTCTGCCCAGCTGGTGTGGCTCAGTGGTTGAGCATCGGCCTATAAATCAGGAGGTCACAGATTCCTGATTAAGGCATATGCTGGGGTTGTGGGCTCGATCCCCAGTATGGGGTGTGCTGCAGGCAACCGATCAATGATTTTCTCTCATCATTTACGTTTCTCTCTCTCTCTCTCTCCCCCCTCTCCTCTCTGAAATAAAAATAAAAAAAAATTATGGTTCTCCTAAACAATTAAAGCTAATTCTTCTTTCACAAGTCAAATATAACCAAATTAATTCAATGAAATTTAAGCTGAAATTTTGTTAACAGTATAATTTCAAAGTTATCACATTCATTATAATGCAGACATAACCTAAACAAAGCAGGCAAATTTTGTACTTCTAAGCATTTATCAATTATCAATATTATTTTGAAGAATTCAAAAGAGGATAAAAAATGCTGATAGAGTACTATAAAAATGTAGTAGAATGTAGTGCAAATTTCTCTCTGTAACTTTTTTTTTATTGCTTAAAGTATTACAAAGAGTATTACACATGTCTCCTCCCCGCCCCACCCCTCCCCCCGACATTCCCCCAGCCACCCCTACCCCCCAGTGGCTTGTGTCCATTGGTTATGCTTATATGCATGCATACAAGTTCTGTAACTTTTACCTATTAATTTAAGATTTTGCATTTTGAAGTTTCACAGAATTGGTCATCTTCTACTCCCATAATGTAGCCATTTGTGAATTATTTGCAGTTTTCTGAATGAGCCACCTTCTCTGGCCTTCATGCCGTTGCTCATGTTGTCATCTCAAAACACACTTTCCCTGGCCTCCTTCTTTACTCAACTAACCCCCACTTATTCTTGAAAATATGGCCCAAGAGTCATTTATTCTATTAAGAACCTAACTGAAATAATACTAACATATTGAGTAGAAAACAATCCATTTCTACTGGAAGATAAGACATTACTGAATTCTATAGTAGTATATTGAAAAAGAAATTTGAAATGTCTTAACCAATAATAGGAAGAGAAATATAACCTTAAATTGTCATTCAATAATGCAACACATATTTTAAATGAAGGTCCTGTTATCAAAGGGGAGCGTGGCTTGTCTCCCCTCGATGCTGGTGGAAGCTGGACTAGCATTTCCATAGGCCCAGGTGAGTGCTGGAATATGTACACAGAGCTCTGGCTGATCACAGGATTTCAGTTCTCTCCAGGACCAGCTGCCCTCAGTGTTATCGATCTCGTAACTTGTTGTCTGTCTCTGGCACCAGAACTTCCCAGCACCATATACCTTTGCTCATCCACACATTCTCATTGTGTCAGAGCTATAAGCACATGATCTGAGGGGATCCATTTCGTCTTGTTACTGCCAGGACTGTGTTTCTGTACAGAGGTTCCCTATTAAACTCTTTACCGTACAAGGCTGGACTTATCTGCCTTGTTCTTTGATCTCTCAGCTCCTTCGGCATTGGGGCTACTTTTCCACACACAGCTCTTCCAAAACACACCTCTCATACTTCTTAATTATAGTCCTACTTGCAATAACTGCTTACACAGAATATTAATCTATAACACTCTCCTAATTCCAGAAAGGGTATAAAGTAATTTACATTAAAACACATGTCACACATGACAGTCAAAAGGGGTTTTAAAAATGAGAATGAAAATAACTGAATATTCTAAGAACTTATCAAATAAGAAGATTGTAAGTTCCACATTTTAGTTTTAAACTTCTTGGCAACTACTGAAAGATTGGAAAGAAACTTGCTTGAATGTTTTCTTTGTTTAAGCAACCAAGATCATTCACACCTTAGAATATGCTAATCAACCTTACACAGTGTTTTTTGAAGAAAAAAATACCCCATTTCTTCCTCAAATACTGGAAGAGAATATGCAGTAAAAAATATGTACTTAAGGTTTGTTTATACTCTAGATTCCATTTGAATATTCTTATTAAATTCGATGTGCCAATCTTTCTAAAGTAAAGTGAATGTTTTACATGAAAACATATTCTTTGTACACGTAGTCATGTGCTTTACATAAAATTTATACAAGTTACTTCAACCTAAATTCAAAGATTATGGGCATCAATACAAAAATGGCTAAGCATGAAAAGAAATAACATTGATCTATCTCAGTGGTTCTCAACCTTCCTAATGCCGCGACCCTTTAATACAGTTCCTCATGTTGTGGTGACCCCCAACCATAAAATTATTTTCATTGCTACTTCATAACTGTAATTTTGCTACTGTTATGAATCGTAATGTAAATATCTGATATGCAGTATGTATTTTCATTGTTACACATTGAACATAATTAAAGCATAGTGAGTAATCACAAAAACAATATGTAATTATATATGTGTTTTCCGATGGTCTTAGGCGACCCCTGTGAAAGGGTCGTTCGACCCCCAAAGGGGTTGCAACCCACAGATTGGCGACCCACAGGTTGAGAACCGCTGATCTATCTGAAATGGAAAAAGAACTACTAAATTACTTTGGTTTATTATGTGTATTCTACAAGGTTGAATTAAACTTTAGAACTACTACTTCTTAGATAGAAAGCAAATTAGGTCACTTCTTTTGAAGTCTGGGAACAAACATATGGCCCTGAAATGCACTGATTTACCATTTGAGACTTTCACTGATATTTGTCATAACAGCAATTCTGTAGCATGACAATCATTTTAAAGTTGTAAGACTTAACTATTACATTTTGAATACGCTGTTACTTCTCATTTATGACATGGCAAGAATGTGGAGAAACAGTTGTTAAAAAGAGCAAGTTGGGGATCCTTTCCCCCTCCCTATGTGGAGTCTGTACTTGTTCTTTAATAAATTTCCATCTTTGCTATAAAAAAACAAACAAACAAACAAAAAAAACAAGCTACATCTATATATATAAAACCCTAATATGCAAAAAGACCAAACGGTGGAACAACCGAACCACTTGCTATGATGTGCGCTGACCACCAGAGGGTGCGTGCGGAACATGGCAGGTGTTGGCCACAGTGGGATGGTGGGGCAGGTAGGCCAGGGCACCAGACCAAGGCAGGGCACTGGTTGCTGTCATCGGGGTGAGCCTCTGGTGGTTACTGAAAATTCTTTGCTCCCGTGTGCCGTGGTCCCGCCCAGCACTCGCACCTGCTGCCAGCCCTGAATGCCCCTCAGGGGTTCTCCACCTCCCCCTGGCTCCTGAGGGGCGATCAGGTTGGCAGCTGCCTCTTGCACCTGCTGCCGGTGACAGCCCCGCTCACACCCGCAGCCGGCACCTGGAGCTGGTCCTGATCACTCAGCTCCATCAGCGGGTGCGAGTAGCAGCTGCCAGCCCCAAATGCCCCTGAGGGCTTCTCCACTGCCCCCTGCTCCTGAGGGGCGAATGGGTGCAGCAGCAGCTGCTGGTTCTGATTGCTTGGTGCCATCAGCGGGTGTGAGTGGCAGCTGCCAGCCCCAATTGCCCCTGCTGATGGAGCCAGCCCCGCTTGCACCTGCTGATGGTGCAGAGTGATTGGGGCTGGTGCTGGTGGCGGTGGGAGCAGGGCTGCTGGTAGAGAGGGGACCAAGGGCCACAGCAGGCGGGGCTGGGCGGGCGCGTGGTGAATGGCCCGAGACCTGCCCCTGTGCTCATTGCAGCCTTGCGGCCCACAGTTCCTTTCAAGGTGCATGAATTCGTGCACCGGGCCCTTAGTATTAAAATAAAAACTTTATTTTGACCAATAAGGCCTGAAATCAATGTGAGAAAACCTCTATAGCTAGCACCTTTTGTCCTGAGTGGGGGTAAAAGAAAAAAGAGAAAGGATTCGAGAAGGGTGTCTTACATAATCAACAATGACTGGTTTGACAAAAAAAGTCTGAATTTACTCCAAAGACAAAAGAAATTCTACTGTAATCTCTTAAGTACAAAGATAGAAAGTGAGATAGCTGACAGTAACATTTTAAAATATACTTAGCTAATATAAAAATATAGGAAAAGATAAAATTGATAAAAATGCTGTAACATTAACACATATAAATTAAAATTATATAGTTACTATATAATTTATGTATGATATTTTGAATAACACCTGAAAATTCTTTCAAAATATTAGTGTTTTTCTTAACATATATCTGAATAACAAATAAAGAAAACATACCATACATCAGTGACTAAAGAGGAAAGGCTACAGACTGGATCAAATGAGACTAATATTAAGTGGGATATCATATAAAAAATTAAGCATATATAAAAATATATATATTTCAGAAGTATCAGCTCAAAACTTTTATTGCCTTAATACTTAGTATAAGTTATGAGTTAAAATTTCCATAGTGGGAAAAACTTAACAAAGAAAAAAATTTAAAAGTAAATGAGTCTATATAATAGAAAAATAATTATGAGAAACAGAAATAATATTCAACTTTATATATCATTTAGTCCTAAATTTTAAAACAGTATAATTACTGAAAGCATCTTGTCATTTAACGGTTGTGATCCTAGTTGATACTTACCCTTTATTAAGATACAAATTTTTAATTTGTAAAATGGAACTAACTCTATTTCATAAGCAGTGATGGTTAAATGAGATAATACATGCAAAGAACTACATAAGTGTCTGGAACATAGCTAATTTAAGTGTTTATTAATATATTATTATATCCTCTCTTTCAAAATATGACCACTAAGTGTAAGGTATAGCGTAGGGAATAGAGTCAATAATATTACATGACCATGTATGGTGTCAAATGGATTTTAGACTTATCAGGGTATCATTTTGTAAATTATGTAGTTGTCTATATATAAATTACTAAATTACTTTTACGCCTGAAACTAATATATGTCAATGATAACTGAAACAAAAGTTATTTTAAAAAATCACCCAAACTGTCAAACAGATTGGATTCTGCATTTCCAGGGATGGGCTTCATTTGTGATTTTTACCACACTTAGAAAGCCAATCAGATGTACTACTTCATTTTTTCTAACAATAAAACTATCATAATTAGCTATGTCAATCACTTTATATGAAATCCTGAAAAAAAAAAAAAAAATCTTTCCTAAAATATGCTCTTCAAGCCAGGCAGCTTGTTAAAGAAAAACCAACAATTAAAAATAGCTTCTACTGCACATCTTCTGCCACACGGAGACATAAAGAAGAAAGTCTCCTCGGTTGATGCCTCTATAAGGTCAGTGACATTCAGTAAGTGCTAATTCCTTTTAGTCATGTAAAGGTTTACAAGATAGGCCATAGACTCAACTTACCTGATGAAGATCACTTCCCAATGCATACTCTGCAAAGTAGCCGGGGGCAGCCGACGAGGCTCTAATGGCCTGCCACATTTTGTACTGACAGCCTCCCAAATAGTGAGAGTTGATTCCAGGAAAATGACCATAGTTTCTGAACACAAAAGCTTTTGGTATGACCCCTCTGTTTACTATGGTACTTACTGCAGCTACCTAGTAAATTAAAAAGTGAATAATATCCATTGTAACCAGCAATATTTGGAATTTGAAAAAATTAAATACTACTTAGTAGTATGAAAGAAAATATAAATAAGCAAGAGTGAAAGAGCACTAGAGGGAGCTGTATTTGATTTTTCATGGTTTCAGCTTGTTATCCAAAAATAAATACAAACTGCATGGAATTCCTAGGTGCAGAAATCCTACTCTTTAATCAAGTAAGTATTATCAAAGAACATGGAACTTAAGCAATACTCAGATCACTGTGTTTCAAACAAAATCAAAAGAGAAGCCATGCTGAGACTTATTCTAGTAACAACTACATTTTGAAAATTGGGATTTCATTTGTATATAATATATATCTAAGATACATATATATATTTCTTTTTAAAAATCTAGGAGAGAAAATGACACAATTTTTCTTAAGTCACTGGATTTGATTAACCCTTATGATAAGTCTTCCTTATCTTTAGTCTCAGTTTTTCATGTTCTTAAACTTTTGTTGTACTTTTACTATATAAAGAAAAGGTCTAATGATCACATCCCACATCTTCAGAGAATTACTCAATATATAAGGAACAATATAATCCTTAAAAAGAGGTTCCTAAGAAATTTTTCCTTTAGTAAAAGGTCTTCAGCGTAACTATTTTCACCTAACCTTCAATTCCAACGAGGTATTATATACTTGAAACTTACCTTAGGACATGTGGGGTCTCTTGCTGTTTCAATCATTAGTGAAGAACCCATTTTATCCCTTTATTAAAGGAGAAGAAATAAATTATATCAAAATTATCTCCTAACATTAGGGAATATATGCTATGCAATCACTGTTTGCTCATGGCTTTATCGAAGTGCTATGAGGAACCAAATTAAAAAAAAAGTATATGAATCTCCTCTAGGAGGCTTATCATCCAATTAATGTATATGAAACAATATGTGGTTAGTATTTATTAATTTATTACTCAAACTACAAGTATCTACTGTAGCATCTGGGAAAGATGCATGGAGGTGTAGCTTAAAAAGGACTCCAAAACATGGCAAGTAACACATTCAAAGTCAGGACCTAAGAGGGGAAAGGCACAGAGGCAGAATCAATTTGTTGTTTTCAGAGTCCTCCTGACAGAATAAAGCTGCTGTGCTGAGACTGGACTGTAGAATGGGTAGGCTGGTTACAGAGTAGTCCAAAATCCAGATCAGGACAGTCAGCCTTTAAACTTGTATTAGCAATACAGAGTCAATGTCACCCCACAAAAAATATTTGTTAAGTCATCTGAGTTGGCATTTGAATTACTGCAACATTACAGAAATTGTGCTTCGGGCAGCAATTTTTACAAGTTCATTATAGGGGAATTTTATTTCAGTGCAGATTATTTCCTGACTTAAAAATTATGTTTTCCCCTTGTATCCTATATAATAAAAGGGTAATATGCAAATTGACCCTAACAGCAGAATGACCAGAATGACCGCTGGACCAGTCACTATGAGGCTCACTGACCATCTCTTGGTCCCTTTCCCCAGCCAGCAGGCTCCGATCACCTGATGGCCACCTGAAGCAGGGGCAGGGCCAGGGAGCGGGCGGGAACAGCCTACCTCTCGGTCCCTTCCCCCGGCCGTCAGGCACCTATCTCCTAATGGTGATGGGGAAACCAGGGGTGGATGGGGGAGAGGGGTGATTCCAACTGCAGGAAGCTGGGGAAGATGGCCCTGACTGCAGGCCAGGCCTAGGGACCGTACCCACACGTGAATTTTGTGTACCGGGCCTCTAGTTGAATATAAAAACTACGTTTTTTACCAACCTGCCTCCATAAGACAAATACATTTTTCTCAAAAGATACTCATATTTTTCAACTAGAATGTTAGTGAATTCACCTAAGGGTAGTATTTACAAACTAGGTAGTGACCTACCCTTCACAATCTTTTAAAAATATCAAAGTAAAATACTTTCTAAAACGGACAAGATCTTTGTCTTTCTCAACTTGACCTATGATCTTCTGCATGAAGATCAATGTAATTTTATCCTTCTATAGATACAGTGGGGCCTTGACTTACGAGTGTCCTGACTAACGAGTTTTTCGAGATACAAGCCGTCTCTCGGCCGATTTTTTGCTTTGAGTTGTAAGCTAAAATTCGGGTTACGAGCCAGCTTCAGATACCCCACCGCTAGTTGGCATAGTGAATGTCACAGTGAACGCCACAACATTCAGCCCAGCATCACGTGTCTCACTCGTTCACTTTTTGATTTGACATATGAGTAATTTGAGTTACGAGTTCCGTCACGGAACGAATTAAACTCGTAAGTCAGGGCCCCACTGTATTTCACTTTATCTTTTCATAGAAATCTAGAAGCAGCTTTCACAGTTTAAGCAAAATTCGCATTTGCTTTTTGTTTAGACCTTGATTTATTTTTTTATTTTTATTTTTTTTATAGCAAAGGTGGAGATTTATTGAAGAACAAGTACAGACTCCCACGTGGGGAGAGGGAAGAGTCCCACAGAATGGACTCCCAAGTAGGGAGGGGGAAGGGTCCCCTAGACCTTGATTTATTAACTGAACTGAAATGCTTAGTGAATTAAGTTATAAATATAAATTCAAAAATAAAGTCAGGAACATTGTTTATTTCACAGAGATAAAACACAAAAAATGTTTCAACATTTCTAGATTTTACTGATGCTATAACTAAAAATGTCCCTTAAATAAAATAATCACAGAAAACACCGATAAAAATAAATAATGAGAGAAAAAAAGAAAAAGTCCAGAGAGTAGGTGTGGCAGATTATAATAATAATGCTCCCCAATGAATCACACTTCCCGATATCTATATCCCTGTATATAGTTCCTTTCCACATAACCCTGAGTTAGAGTGGCTTTGGTCAACTGAACATCAGCAGGCATACCATTAGCAAAAGCTTTTAATTTTTACAATGTCTACTACTAATTTTAAACTTGGTTCATGTAAGGTAAAAGTTGAATCATACACAGCAAAGTGTAGGAGGATTTGTTCTAATGAACCCAATGATAGATTTGATTATGGAGTTTGAACTGTTAACTAACCATTTTAGACTTGTGGCTTTCTTTCTATGGTTTGTCTGTTTTTGCTTTTACTTCTATGCTACACTTGTTTGCCATGTAGCAGTTGTACTGTGCATTACAAAAAGGACGGGGAAAATTTTTTATGGATATCATGTCCATTATAGTTTGCCATAGTATTTTTCTCTAGTTCTCTGTGATTTAATATTACCAAGCTTTCTGTACTTTGTTACAAAACGCCGGTTTACCAGGTAACAATTTTGGTGTCCAAAAGAATTTATGGTGTATTTCTGTCAATTCACTTTGAATTTAAATAAATAAATAAATAAAATGGAGGCTTGATAAGTACTTTTGCACTGGGGCTTTTATTTTTGAAAAGTGAGTATAATGCTTTGTTGTGTTTTAGGAAAAAAATGTTTAAAAATTAATATTTTAAAAGAATACCTGTTAATGACTCTGGAGAAAGACTAATGTGGTAAGTAAAAACAATAGGATGCAAAACATGGTATATATACAATATAGTCTCAAATTTTAAAAAGGCAATTGCAACTTTTACATGAAAATCTCACATGCATGAACCCAAGAAAATAGTGACTAGAACAGATTCACCAAAATATTAAGAGTGATTATATCTAACTAGTAGGATCAATAATTTAATTTCATATTTTTCAGCATTTTTTCAAATTAATATGCAAATGTTACCTAGATCATCAAAATGTTTTTTAAAAAGAATAATTATAACTTACTTAAGAATATTTTCCCATGTTTGACTGTCATAAAATGCATGGCTCCAACTCATTTTGACTGTCCCAACAATGACATTTTGTGAAAACACATCTGTTCCTAATTTTCGATAAAGTTCTTCACATTCATCCAGGGGCATATGAAAGAATCCCAGCATGAATGCTAATATAGCACCTGAAAGAAAAAATCTTTTGTTTTTGTCAGTGTTGATATAATACTATAAGATATTTTGAATCACAGACTTGGTTAAAACTCTGCCTTTGATACTTTCAAACTGTGTCACCTGGGACAAACTACTTAACCTATCAGAGTCCTATTTTTTTCATCTAAAAAATAAGGGTAATTACAACAACTAAAATTTATAAAGTTCTTATATTAGGATAACAGATGTAAAGGGATTTATTTACTAGGCCTCAGTAAGGATACATAAATGGCAGCCAATGATGATAATGACAATTTAAAAACATATAAAAATGTGTTATTTTACATTACATTAATTAAGATATATAATTAAGATGTTGTGGTAGAGAATATCCTTTCTAACCTTAATAAATTCCTTAGTTTTGGTCACAGAATACAGTATACTTAACAATTTACCAATTCATTAAAAAACTGCTTCTTCAGATTGGTCCTGGGAACCAATGTAATTAAAGAAATTAGGTCTCTGGGATGTCCTTTTAAACAGCAGATTTCATATCCTAGCTGCAATTGGTAGGACACACTGCCACCTAGTGTACATAATTATCCTACTCCTGAACTAACAAAAAACTGGAGAAAGGTTAAGGGAATGGGAAGAGGGTGGGGCAAAGCAAAGACCTGTATAGCATCACTGCTTACTTTGAGATTGCAAAGAAAGAAAAAACACAAAACAAAACAAAAAACCCCCCGAAAATTATTATCATAATGTATTTTAAATATTTTATATGTTTTATTACAGTAAAAGTCTTATTCTAATAAAGGTAAGATAGCATGCACTGTATGGCATAAGTATATAATAGAAATTGCTATTTTTCAATTTGTGGAAAAGTTGTAATTAACATAAGAAATAACTTGCCAAAAATTTAAGTTCCTTTCCTCTTAAGCAGAACTACTATGAAGATGAGCAGACATTTAAAAAACTGAATTTTATCGAACTGGTAAGTACGTTACCCTTGAATTAAGTATAAATTTATTAACTTTTCAGAAATTATGAAACAAAATTTCTACATTAGAATATACAAAATGGAAAAAAGTACTGTATTATAAATTAAGTTTAACATAAACTAGAAAACAATGGAAAAGATATATTGTGGTTAAAACAGAAATGTACATATTTCATAAACTGATATTCTATGCCATGAGTAAATCCCTGTGACTTAAAATTCTCTTTCATGAGCACCCACCTGCTAAGAATAGTGCCTCACAGAGGGACACCTCTCACAACTAAGTACAATCTTATCCATCTTTAATATTCTATTGGTTCAAGTACAACTTAAGTACCTACTTTCCTTACATTTCATCACTGAAGGTGACTATACCATAAGGCAATAATTCATAACTCATAACTGGTCACTATGGCTTTTTAAAAAATATTAGACAACGCAGTACAAACTATTCTCTTAATGTTAATTTATTCCCAATAAATATTTTTAAAAGTTAATTAGGTAAACCAAAGGATTATTCGTCAAAACATGAAATTAATACCCATTATTTCAAAGAATGATCTTGAATATAAGTGCTTAATGTTCTTTTTCTTAATGCACTGCTGGGGATGTAGCATTCCCATAATGATAATTACCTGTGCTTACACCACAGATGTAATCAAACAGCTGGTGAACTGGCTTCTGAGTAAGCTCAACTAATTTTCTCAGTGTCTGAAGAGCAACCAAGCCCCTACAGAAAAGATAAAGACAAAGTGAAAATTCATGTTTCAAGGAAAGCTAAGTTATTGAACAAAACAATCCTAAAAATGGCATTTCTAGCTTATATGCAAACTTGAAAACTAGTAATATAATTTAGCATCAGTAAAAGTTGCTTAAGTTTTTAAGGTAACTTTTGAATATCTGATATTTCCTTTTTTTTTTTTAAATCCTCACCCGAGGATATGCTTTTATTGACTTTGCAAGAGGAAGGGAGAGAGAGAAAAAACATTGATGTGAGAGAGAAACATTGACTGGTTGCCTCCCACACACGCTTGGACCGGGGATTGAACCTGAAACTTAGGCATGTGCCCTGACCAGGAATCAAAACCCACCACCATTTCGTGTTTGGGAGGATGCTCCAACCAACTGAGCCACACTAGCCAGGGCTGAATATCCAATAGCTAAGTAATGGTACAAAACCTGTGCTATAGCTGCACGTCTTTAAATTTATACTAGTATCTATACTACAAAGATATGCCAATGTAAGATTAAAAATATATACCCAACTGGGAAAATACTTAAAGCCTCCACTCACCAGTTTGGGAGGCCATATATTGGTTTCTTCTCTCACCAATGTAGCTGGTCACTGATGCTTCTATATGGCTTTGTTTTATATGTTTTGTCTTATTTTTTAAGCTTTTATTCATTTTTTAAAACTTAACAATATTAGGACAATACTCCACATTAAGGATGTATTAATTTATGCTACTGACTTTATTCATTTCTGGATTCTTGCCAAAGGTGGCAAATAGCTTCATAATGAATATGAAAGATGAAATAGTCTAGGAAGTGTAGGCAAATTCAGGGTGAATGTAACAAGTTGATAATTTTTTTTATTTTAAAAAATTTTATTCTTCAATTATAGTTGATGTACAATATTATGTTAGTGTCCTGTGTAAAAACAGTGATTAGATATTATGTAACTTACAAAGTGCTCACCCTGATAAATCTGGTAACCTGCCTGACACCACAGTTATTACAATATTTTTTACTGTATTTCCTATGCTGTATTGTACATCCCTGTGACTGTTTTGTAACTACCAATTTGTGCTTGTAAATCCTTTTACCTTTTCACCCATCCCCTAACCACCTCCCATTCAGCAACCATCAGCTTGTTTTGTGTGTTCATTGTGTTTTTTAGATTCCACATGTAATTGAAATCATATGGTATTTGTCTTTGTCTGATTTATTTCACTTAGCACAATGCTCTCTAGAATGCAGATAATTCTTAATACTAGGAGAATATACAGAAATAATTAAGCATTATAATCCCAACACAAGGTGTGAGGTAGAGAAGTCCTGGAACACAATGGTAGCCAGACACCACAAAATAAAATCTGGAGTGCCAAACTGTGCTTTGATACTGTGAAAAGGAAGTCACCAGAAAATATTGTAAGATTCAAGTAAAAAACCAAAAATGCTGATTTTTTTTTTTAATTGCAAGAAGTAATGTGGACTTGAAGAGTAATATGAGTACATAAGATGGCTTATAAGAGATACACATTATGAATTCAGGGTGAGACATGAAGAATTAAAGATAATGCTGAAGAAAAATATATTTAATAACGTGACCTCCATTACTTATAAAAATGAAATAAAACGTATATATCATATAAAAATATTTGAAGAAATAAAAATATTAAAAATAATCTTGAAATTCTGAGCTATGATTTGTTTATATATTTTTCTCCCAAGTTTTACTTGTATAATGAGGAGAAACTATTTAAAAATGCTATATTTAGCCCAGTGGTGTCGCTCAGTGACTGAGCGTCAACCAATGAACCAGGCAGGAGGTCACGCTTCTATTCCCGGTCAAGGTATATGTTGCAGGCTGGATCCCCAATGTGGGCATGCAGGAGGGAGCCGTTCAATGATTCTTTTTCATCATTGATGTTTTTATCTCTCCCTTCCTCTCTGAAATCAATAAAAATATATTTTTAAAAAATTCTTTTATAAACATTACTTTACTAAACGACTAGTTGACATATGGGTAAGACAAATATAAGAAAGCAAACATTATAAAACACTGCCAAGATTTTAAGAGAATCTTGGTTAATAAACTGTCCTAAACTACCCAAAATGTCTGAAAAGACCAAAAAAATATAAATACTAGGTTAAAGAAATTCAGATATGTTAAAGAAGCTCTGAGATTGATAAAGAAGTAAATTAAAAAAAAACTATTTCATCTTTTATTTAAAAAATTTGATTTTGTAATGATATAATTATACCAAATTAGTTTAAAAAAATTACTATGACTGAATTGTAACTATAGTTTTTTTGTGTTATTTTTTTGTTGATCCTCAAATGAGGATTTTTTTTCCCATTGAATTTCAGAGAGTAGAAGGGGGACAGAGAGGGAAACATCAATGTGAGAGGGACACATCGACTAGTTGCTTCCCACACTCACCCTGACCAGGGCCAGGGATTGAACCTGCAACCTAGGTACATGACCTTGACCAGGCATTGACCCCTGACCCTTTGGTGCACAGGCCAACGCTCTAACCAGTGAGCAACAACAGCCAGGTTGGAGCTATAGTTTTTAAAAATCAATTTTCTATTCTTACCTTGTTCCTCCACCATCAATTGTGAGAATTCGGATTCCTCTTCCTTTCACTGGATCCACATAGCCAATTAAGGCCAAAATTTCTCTAACTGCAGCCTGAAGAGTTTCATCCTTAATTTGTCGCAATCGTAATAAATATGGAATAATTTTCTCCTGGATTGAGAAAAAAAGACTTTTTGTTGCTTTTGTGAAATCAAATGTGAAAATGTATGACTATTTTTAACCAACATGTGTAGACCTCCACAATCAAGGTGCAAGTGTTTATTATTTTCTAAGTAATCTTAAATGATACATTAATTTTTGACATTTTAATGTCAATTACTATCTAGAATATATCTGTCCTAATATCTAGGTAAAAAATTAACCTATATCCAAATATTTCTTTTAAAAAATGGAATGCTTAAGAATTAGAGAAAATGTAATTTGCTTAACACAAATTTATAAACTATTAATGTTACAAGAAAAGGTTATTATAAATTTTATACAATATTTTGTCTAAATTCCAAAGTTAAGATGAAACTGCTTCATAGTAATTATTAAACTTGCTATTAAAAGAAAAAATCTCGTGTACACTGCACATGGGACACAAGGGTACCTCACAATGAAATATATAAATAAAATTAAGGTAGAAGGCAAAAGCTGACCATTACAATTAAAAAATTAGCTTAAACAAACCTGGGAATTCAAGATTTTAAGCATTCAACTTCATACTGTTGATCAGAGGCAAGAACTTAAATCCTAGGGTGCTATGTTGAGTTTCTCAAAGACGCTCTAGGTCAGGGGTCCTCAAACTTTTTAAACAGGGGGCCAGTTCACTGTCCCTCAGACCGTTGGAGGGCCGGACTATAGTTTAAAAAAAAAACTATGAACAAATTCCTATGCACACAGCGGTGGCAAAAACACCCGGCGGGCCGGATAAGTGTTTTCGGCGGGCCGCATGTGGCCTGCGGGCCGTAGTTTGAGGACCCCTGCTCTAGGTTCTGTGCACTGAAGCATCTTACCTGGTCAGTACCCCAGATTTAAAGTTTAAAGGAATAAGTTGAGTGGCAGCTACACTTGTGCTGTGTAACCTCCAGTAAATCAAATCACTTCCCAATGTAGCATTCATTTTGTTTCTTTTTTATAATAAATCATATCTAAGATACATACTATTGTTCTAATTTTTTTGCTTTATTTATTCTGGCTTAAAGGCCCCACTAGAGCAGTGGTCAGCAAACTGCGGCTCGCGAGCCACACGCGGCTCTTTGGCCCCTTGAGTGTGGCTCTTCCACAAAATACCACGTGCGGGCGCGCATGTACAGTGCGATTGAAACTTCGTGGCCCATGCGCAGAAGTCGGTATTTTGTGGAAGAGCCACACTCAAGGGCCAAAGAGCCGCATGTGGCTCGCGAGCCGCAGTTTGCCGACCACTGCACTAGAGGAACCTGAGCAATGGTGGAGCATGACTATGTTAATTTCCAATCCAGTTAGGATAGAACAGTCTCTTTGTAAGAACTAAAAAGTTTGATTAAAAAAAAAAAGTCATCTGTTTAAATGTACTGAAGAGCTGCAGAAGCAATAAGAACAGGAGGGGCTAAGATTCTGGAGAAGGAATAATTGCTGGAAAGTGAGTTCATAAACTACAGCTTGTTTTCCCTTGAAGCATTTGCTGAGTTGGAGAAGAAACTAAAGATTGAAAAACTGGGTTTGGTTCAAAAAGAGGGCCATAATGGAGGACAAAGAAACAGTCCATCTTTTAGAGTCGCGCAGGTTTGGAGCCACAAAACTGAGGACTTGAGGGCCTCAACCACAAAGCTGGTTTCACCTTAAGGTGAATTCTTTCATTATGTGTCATGGGAAGTTAAAGCTGAAAAACTCTGGAGATGAGAGTACAATTTTTTGTACTCGAGATTTTAGGAGGGTAGTAATAGTGAACACATCGGGCTCTCAGCTGCAAGCCCTAGAGAAATACACCCTAAAAAGAGGGCAAACTAGAGGTTTCACCAAATTGTGATGCAGCCTTGACCCAGCTCTGACCCAAATTCAATTGAGGTCATCAGTACCCCCACTTTATGCTTCAAGCAGAGGAATAAGTAAACTGTCTCTGGAAAAAGAAATCACTGGATATAATCTAGATCCTAAGCAATTTTTTTAAATTCACAGTCCAGCATCCAGAAAAATATATGGGATGTGAAACCAGTACCAAATGATCAAAGACCAAGAGCTGATCCTGATATAACTACCAACAAAATATATTAAAATAAATAACAGCCTGATCGGTGTGGCTCAGTGCTTGAGCCTCGACCCATAAACCAGGAGGTCACAGTTCTATTCTGGGTCAGGGCACATGCCTGGGTTTTGGACTCTTTCCCCAGAAGGGGGCATGTAGGAGGCAGCTGATGGATGATTTTCTTTCTTCGTTGATGTTTCTATCTCTCTCTCCCTCTCCCTTCCTCTCTCTGAAATCAGTAACAAATACATAAAATAAATTAAAGTAACAACAAAATTACCATCCCCAAACACCATAGACATAGCAATTAATGTTTTAAAAATCAAATGAAAAATGTGTAAGACAATGACACTGAATGTGTAAGACCAAAGAAATCTGATTATTTATGTCCTCTTAAAATTCATATGTTGAAATCCTTATCCCCAAGGATGGCATTATTAGGAGGTGGAGCCTTTGGGAGGTGCTCAGGTTATGAGAGCGGAGCTCTCATGAATGGGATTAGTGCCCTTATAAACGAGGTCTCACAGAGATCCCTTGCCCCTTCCAGGACACAAGGACACAGTGAGAAGGCACCAGCTATTAACCAGGAGGAGGGTCCTCACCAGGTGATCATGCTAGCACCCTGATCTTGAACTTCTAGCTTTCAGAACTCTAAGAAATACATACTATTTTCTGAATGGCAAGTTAAAAATAAGCACTACAGATCTCCAATGAAATGTCAACATCATCTATTCACTATGTTTTCAAATTGTTTGTTAAATATTACAAATAATTCTAGTAGTGCAGATGTACAGAGACTCAGCCCAGACACAGCATTCATATTTTATAGTACTTCTATGAAAACAGACTATTTAATAAATGGGCATAAATTCTTTTGACTATTTTATATTTGACAAAACTGAGGCAAAGAGAAGCTAACACACTGAGATTTATCTCCCATTTTAAAATGTTTAATCTCAAAGTATAGATATCAGTACCAATAGCATAATTTATATAAAAGGGAGCATTTAGAATTACGTATATCATAGAAAAAATGGGGCAATTACTGGATATTACAGATCAAATGTATGATAAAAACCACAAAAATATTTAAATAAATAATTAGAAGGTTTATTAGTATTTTTATTCCAAAACAAAACCAGAGTAAATAAATTAAAATTACCTTGACAGCCACTCCTTTTCCTTCAGGAAATTCTAGAAGATGAAAAGTCAGTTCTTCAATCCTATTAATGCAGAGTTTTGGGTCAGTTGTTCTTCTTAATGCCTGAACTAATGCCCGGGTTCTGTTATCAATACTCACTCTTGCTATAATCTACAGAGACATATTTAAATATATATGATTATAAAATGAAACTGCTCTAGTAGTACTAACAAATGGTTAAAGTTTCTAAGGTCCTATTAGAAAATAAAACATCAATTTGACAAAAATTAAAACTTAAAACCACCATGAATAACAACTTGCCTTTTCTCTCTGAAGAATTAAATGCTTTTTCTCCAGTGCATTTTTATCGTCGCCGTCAGCCTGCTCAGCCTTGGTGGCTTCTTCCTGTTCTTCTGACTGACTCTTTGAATCATACTTGAATTTGGGGACAAGTCCACCAATATATCCACCTACTAAAGCTTGTACGCCTTCAGTAGGATAAGAAAGAAAATTGGCAATACTTTTTTTAGTAGAAACTGGAAGGACCTCAGGCGTCCCACTGGGACTTTTGGACTTGTCCACAGTATCTGAAGAGGATTCTGAGCCTCGCTTCTTGTCAGTCAGCATACCAGGAGTTGCAGATGTGGATTTCCCTTCTTCACCCTTTTTATCTTCAAGTTTTGACTTGTCCTGGAAATCTTTGTTTTCCTTTTTTTGAGACATTTTCTCGACACGTTTGAAGTATGAATTAATATGATTGGATAAAAAATAGAACGACTCTCCGAATTTCGTGGTTATACTATTTGTATAAGGTAAAGGACTTTGTTTGCCACTATCTTTATCTTTATCTATAACGTGACTTTGCTTTTCTAAAACAGAACTCTTTTCTGATTTGTCACTATAGTTTTTCAGAGATTTGATGGTTTGTTTAACGTTTTTCTGTTTTAACCAACCACCATCTGATACTTTTCTTAATATTTCAGAACTTGGCTTAAATTGAGCTAAACGTGAGATCATTTCATTCTGATTTCCAAAAACAGCCTTTGAAACAGAGTTCAAAGTACTTTTTATACGGGACATACGAATGCTCACTTTTGTAAGTCCTTTGGGAGCAGAAGTGCTAAGTTTCAAAATTCCATGTAACCCATTGTCGCTTGGAGAGTAACAGTGCTTACTGCAAGAATGCGCTTCACTTTTGGTCCATTTACATCTTATTTTGTTTGTATGAAAACCTCTTTGTAGACTGATGTGGCTTATCTTCCAGTAATGTTTAGGTGAGCACAAGAAATGTAGTTGCTTGCTTTTCTGCTTCCCATAAAGACTTCGGGCATTACTAAGGAGGTAAATATATATATCTATAGTCAAATTAATAGACATAACTTAAAAATCACTTATTTTCTATCTGTTATGACTGTCACTTCAGTCCTGAATGCTTCATTTAAGAAATGCCATAATTCATGGTCTTACCTGAAATGGCAAGAAAACAAAAATTAGGATTCAAGGGCTAATTGAAATTGGGTATAAGAAAAACACATCACTACATGAACTAAACTCAGCAACTTGTTTAAAAAAAAAAAAAAGAGTATTTCCATTATGATTTTACAGATTTCACTTTTAAGCTAATAGAAAAGAATTCATCTTTCAGTACAGAAGTCAATGAAAAAAGGAAGTGAGTAGTAGGATGTTTCATGAGCACTAATTTAGAAAAGCTATTCAAAGGTAAGTTTTTATTTTATTTCATTTATTAAATATTTTTTTTATAATTGACTTCAGAGAGGAAGGGAGAGGGAGAGAGAGAGAGAAACATCAATGATGAGAGAGAATCATTGATCAGTTGCCTCTTGCACGTGGGATCTAGCCAGGTACTCAGGCATGTGCTCTAACTGGGAATTGAACCGTGACCTCCTGATTCATAGGCTGAGCCATGCCAGCCCAGCTTTATTTTTTTTGTTAATCCTCACCCGAGGATATTTTTCCATTGATTTTTAGGGAGAGTGGAAAAGAGAGGGAAAGACAGACAGAAACATCGATGTGAGAGAAACACATTGATTGGTTGCCTCCTGCACAAGCCCTGACCAGGTCCCTGGCTGGGAGGAGTCTGCAACCAAGGTGCGTGCCTTTGACCGGAATCGAACTCGGGGACCCTTTGGTCCACAGGCTGATTCTCTATCCGCTGAGCCAAACAGGCTAAGGCCAAAGGTAAGTTTTTCTACAATACTTAATTGAATATGCTAATTTAGATACAATGCTGTTTTTCTTCCTTATTGTTAAAGTCTTGACAAATTTATGTGATGCTAGACTTTACATTCTTTGAAGACAAGAGTCAGGTCTTATAATTCATTCATCGCAAATCATTTATAGAATATTTAATCTATACTACAAGTTGCTAGATGCTGAGACCGTAGAGACAAACAGGATACTAAGGAACTTTAGTATAGAACTAGAGATAGAATTTTACTATCTAGTAATAAGTGCTTATTAAATTAAAGAAGTCAGACTAGAAGAAGCTATATGCAATATCTAACAGTTCAGGGGTTCATAACCACAATATAAAAAGAACACATACAAAAAAATAAATTTAAAAATAAAAGAAAAAGAACACATATAAATAAGAAAGGAAATAATAATCCTCTAGAAAAACAGGCAAATAACATAAACAGGCCAGTCACAGAATAATAAATACAAACAGTAAAATTATGAAAACATCCTTTGAATCAAAGAAAAAGGCCAATTAAAACAGATATTTTGTTTTTGCAATTGGTAAAAATTTAAATGATTGGTAATATCCAGTACTGATAATGGATGGGGGAAATGGGACTCAGAGGGCTATTTGACAGTATCTAATGAAATATTAAATGCAATCTATGACATTTTAAAGGTGCATATTCTGTGATCAGCAATTTTCCTATTAAGAATTATTTGCATAAGAATGCAAAGGTATATACACACAACCCCTGCTGTACTGCTTGCAATAAAAAAACACACTGAAAAACAACTCTAAATGTCTTCTGGCAAGGGATGGTTAAATTATGGTACATACATACAATGGAATGAATTACCATACCAGTTAAAGAGAACCAGATGATCTGTGTACACTGACATATCCTCCATACAGAATACAGTGAAAAAAGAGAAGCTGTAATACTATATGTAGTACAGACACATGAAGACATGGAGATGTAGACATTATGTAATAAAAGAAAACAAAAACCTACTTATGTAATTTAAATTTGTGGCTACAAGCACACACACACAGACACAGACAGAGAGAATGATTCTGAAAGGATTAGCACCAGTTAATGTATTCTTATGAACTGAGGAGCAGGATCAAAAGAGAACAGAAGGACTCTTACTTTTTATTTTTGTAATGTCTGATTTTTTTACAATGAGACAGGTATTACTTTTATAATTTAAAAAAATCAAACAATTTAAAGCACTTTAATAGATGGTGCCTTGTGAATGGAAGACACAAGGGAAGAGTAAATATCCAGGTAAGTCTGAAAAAAATATGCTAAAAACTGGGCAAAGGTAAAAAGAAATTCATCATGGGATAAAGATGAGAAGGAAAGGAGAGAATTCTAATTAATGCAGAAAAAATAAACACAAAAAAGCATTTAAAAAAGCATACACAAAATCAGCAAAAACTGCAAGTAGTGTAATTTCGCTCCAGGATCTGAAGAGAATAAATAGAGAGAGGTAGAAGACGCTATTACAAAGACAGTCTGGACCAGATCATGAAAAGTCTTATAAATCTTGCCAAGGAAATTGAAAATCAAACTATCAATAAAGTATTTTAAGCAAAGGGATCACATTAAAAGATGATTCCAGGAGATCTGTGCCAGAATGGAATAATGGGACAAAACTGAGAAAGACAGAAACCAAGAAGTTATTGTGACTGTTCAGAAGAAGGTAGCCTGAACTAAAACTCTTTCTAAATTGCATGTGAGCATATTATTTTAAAATCACCAATTTTACAGTGGTAAGGAAAGAAAAGAAGCAAACATACCTGGCTCTTCTGAACTCCTCAGGACTTGCAGTCAGTGCAATAAGCTGAAATAACATGAAAGCTCTACAATCCCCAACACAGAAATATTTGATAAAATACAATTAAAGTACTTGTGGATTAAAAAGCCATGCTCAAAACCAATTATAGATTCCTACAACTCAACAACAAAAATCAACCCAATTAAAAATGGGCAAAGGGCCCAGCTGGTATGGTTCAGTGGTTGCGCATCAACTTATGAGGCAGGAGGACATGGTTTGATTTCTGGTCCAGGCACATGCAGGGGTTGTGGGCTCGTTCCCCAGTAGGGGGCATGCAGGAGGCAGCCAATTGATGATTCTCTCTCATCACTGATAGATATCTCTCTCTGTCTCTCATCTCCCTTCCTTTCTGAAATCAATAAAAACATATTTTTTAAAATATATTTTATTGATTTTTTTTGCAGAGAAGAAGGGAGAGGGATAGAGAGTTAGAAACATCGATGAGAGAGAAACATCCATTAACTGCCTCTTGCACACCCCCTACTGGGGATGTGCCCGCAACCAAGGTACATGCCCTTGACTGGAATCGAACCTGGGACCCTTGAGTCTGCAGGCTGACACTTTATCCACTGAGCCAAACCGGCCAGAGCTAAAAACATATTTTTAAAATATCATAAAAATGGGCAATGGACTTGACTAGACTTCTCTCCAAAGATGATACACAAATGGCCAACATGCATATGAAAAGACTAGAGGCCCAGTGCATGAAATTCATGCACTCGGGGGCGGGGGACAGGGGGTCCCTCAGCCCGGCCTGTGCCCTCTCGTAGTCTGAGAGCCCTTGGGGGATGTCCGACTGACGGGGAGTGGGCCTAAACTGTCAGTTAGACATCCTTAGCACTGCCGTGGAGGCTAGAGAGGCTCCCACCACCGCCGCTGCACTCGCCAGCTGTGAGCCTGGCTTCTGGCTGAGCAACACTCCCCACTAGGGGGCAGCTCCTGTGTTGAGCGTCTGCCCCTTGGTGGTCAGTGCACGTCATAGTGACTGGTTGTTCCTCCGTTTGGTCTATTTGCATATTAGCCTTTTATTTTATAGAAATGCTCAACATCATTGAGCACTGTTGGTGGAACTGAAATGGTGCAGCCACTATGAAAAACAGATGGTGGCTTCTAAAAAATATTAAAAACAGAACTAGTATATGATCCTATGAATCACCAAAAGAATTGAAAACAGGGTCTCAAAGAGATATTTGCACAGCTATGTTCATAGCAGCACTATTCACAATAGCAGAGGTGGAAACAACCCATGTCCATGGATAGATGAATAGATAAGTAAAATATGCAAAGAAATACAACAAGCAGCCTTTAAAAAGAAAGGAAATCCTACCACATGCTATAAAACAGGGTAATGTGGAACCAGGATTTAGAAATAATAGAAAAAATTAAGTAGATTGACAATGTCAATGATATTAACAGAGGGAATAAAAATAATGAGACAAAAAAGAGAGAACTATACAAAGAGTGAACAGGAAAAATAAATGTTTGAAATGAAAACTTCAGTTACATGGTAGTTACTAGACACACCTATACCATAATGACAAAGAATGGGATGGAAAATAATGGAATGTGAAAAATAATATTCCAGGCATACTGGTATACTAACCAAAAGAAAGCACTTTCAAGCAAATTTAAAGGAAAATCATGAAATAAGGATTTTTTAAAAAGGGTTACTACATAATAGTAAAAGGAATAATCCATTTATTTATTAAATCTCCAGCAGTCTTTTAGGCCTTGGAGAACAATACAATCTATTAACAAATAAAGAACTAATATAATGTATAATATCAGGTGGAGAAGTGCCATAAAGAAAAATAAAGCTGGGAACTGGGGAGAGCGAGCACAGAGTGCTATTTTAGTAGAGGAGGGGAGAAGAACTGAGTTGACATTTTATTGACAAACTGAATAAAGTGAGGAAGCAAATTATTGAAAGTATATGGGTAAAAGCTTTCAAGGCAGAGGAAAAGCAACCAACCTTTGGAGACAGGAATAAACTACGTCTATTCAAGAATAGCAAAAACAACAAGGTGGTTGAAGGAAAATGGTAGAGATTCGCAAAGAGTCAAGCAGAAGATGAGTTACATAAGCGCAGACTACAGTAAGGGGTCTGAATTGTTTCTTTCCAACAAGATATAACCCTCATGACCAATTATAAATACGCCTATAAATCTGACATTGAGATATAGTATATAAAGCAAAAAAGGGGGAACAATTTTAATGTACCTCATTAGAAATAACAATTATCAAGCAAAAAATTACTAAATAGAGAGAGTTATTAACAAAACCAACAAGCTTAATGTAACTGCTTCCAAATCACAAAGCCAGTAAGTGTAGATAAGAGTTTTGAGAGTAAATTCAGCTGGGAAAGAAGTTAGCTTGCAAAAATATACCGAGAACAATGTAAAGTGAGAGGTACCATCATCAACTTGGAGAAGAACAGGGAAGATTAGACGATTTTTTTTATCAGTTACCAATGAGTCTTTACTGAAGACATCAGTAATACATTGTTATTCAAAGTATTGTGGGAGGGGTGTTCTAGTCTCAAATTTTCTCTTTAGACTACCTATTTATACAAAGACAGGTTGTATAAATACAATGGAGGTATAAATAGAATGAAGAAGAAATGTGGGAATTTCTAAGTGGAGGCTTTGCTGAGGACAGAAAGAATGAATTTATAGGGACTTCACTTAGTTATTGCAATAATGCAGACATAAAGTTACAAGGATTTTAATTAAGATAATCTATCTATAAAAATAAAAGCGCAATATGCTAATTAGACCGGACAGCCAAACGACCTTCTGGACATCATTCTGGACGTCCTTTTGGACAAAGCCGCGGTGGCGGGGACAGAGGTGGTTAGGGGCGATCAGGCAGGCAGGCGAGTGGTTAGGGGCGATCAGGCAGGCAGGCAAGCAGTTAGGGGTGATCAGGCAGGCAAGCAGTTAGTGGCGATCAGGCAGGCAGGTGAGTGGTTAGGGGTGATCAGGCAGGCAGGCAAGTGGTTAGGGGCGATCAGTGCAGGCCAGGCTGAGGGACACCCCTTCCCGCCACACCTGTGTACAGATTTCATGCACTGGGCCTCTAGCAGTACTACAATGGAATAGAGGGCTACTCTTAGCCACACTTTGAAAGTGGGGAAACAACAACGCAGGGCAGAGAAGAATGGCGTAAGGAGAGGGAGGTGTCAAGACAACTTAAGGATTTTTAATCAGAGACACAAGAATAATGTCATTTGTAAATAGGAGATAACTGGGAAGGGGTCCAATTAAATAAGAAAGAAAAATCTCTTGTATTTACAGTGGGACATTCAAGTGTAGGAGTACTACAGAAACACAGGCTGTGGATGTACATTTGGAGTTATCAGCACAGTGACAGCTGAAATCATGTTTGGATTTACAGTAATAATTATTGAGCATTTGGGTATCACAGGACCTGAAAAAAAAAAACTTCCTTGAAAAGTGCTTATTTGCATATATACACTACATTTTCCATGACATTTCAGGATATTCATGGACTTACTAATATATTCCTTTGGTTTCAAATGTTAAAACTCTGGTTTAGAAAGAACAGGGCAGAGCCTTGACTGCCATCCAGAGTTAGGAAGAGGAAATCTTCCAGAAAACAAAAAAGCACTGGGGGAGAGACAGCCTGAAAAAAGTCAGGGCAATGAATACAACAGCAAGGTCTAAAGAGAGGTGGACAATGAACAAAGTAAAGTATAAGAAATGGGAAAGATGAGAACTAAGACATGAGGGGCCCAAAACTCTAACTCTGACGTTTTCATAAACATATGACCCACAAGTGAGACAATATGTACCCTCAGCACAATTCCTTTGTCGTTCCTGAGCCAAAAAAACAAGTCAAAGTACAAGCGGTACTTTTAACTTTGCATGTTCCTGGAAGTAAATATATACCCTAGTGAAACTGATCCTTTCATTCAACATCACTCATTAAAAGGACATTGCTTTCAAGATTTTCATTTAAATCTCATATAGAAATGGAAAACAGTACCAACTTAAGAAAAAATTTGATTAATAAAAATTAAGATAGAGGGGATCAATGGGGGAAAAAACAAAGGGGACATCTATAATACTTTCAACAATAAAGATAAACTTAAAAATATTTTAAAAATAAAAATTATGAAGTCAGAACATGTTCTTACACTGCAAGTACAACTAACTTGCACAAACAATTTAACAAAATAGCTGCAATTGGGGCTTGAAACAACTGCCTCATCAGAGGCATAAACTCTCAGTTCACGGTTTAACATGCTTTAAAAATTTATATTTTACATTCTTAATATTTCACTGTTTTAACAGCATTTCCTCGATGCACAGAAACAGTGCTGTCACTTCTGAAACCTCAGCCATTAGGACTGTTCCTGGAAGTAACAACACCACTTTAAATAGGATCACAGTCCCCGATGCCAAACCTCTGGGCTGTTCCTAGGAGTCACCACTTTTCTCTGACATTATTGCATTAGGCACAGAAACCAGGTTCCTCCCAGTGTGATGATAGAAAAGACAATGACGGGAAGCAATGCAACGTAATGATTCATAGAGTTTCACCTTTTAATAAGCACACACCTGAGCCCGCGTAAGCAGCCGTAGCTGGGGACAGAGCTCCACGTAGGTGGCGATCAAAAATAAGTGGATGATAAATAAAAGTACCAAGCCACGGGGTCACCCGGAGCACTGACATTCGGGAATGCGGCAGAACGGGAAAACCGTTGTTGACCGCGACCAGCAAACTGCTGGAAAACCTACCGTCCGGGAGGGCCAAGCAGACTCCGGGTAACTGGGCCGGGAGTCGTGGGGGTGGGACCAGAGGAACCAAAACAACCCGCGCGTCTGGAGCCAGCAAAACGCACGGGGGCGGGCGAGGCGAAGGGCACCGCGCAGCCAACAGCCTCAGCGCCCGCGAGCTCCGGCCGGTGGCCGGCGGCCTTCCGGAACCTCGGTCCCGGGGCCTCCCGCAACCTGGGAGTCTCCCCGCCCTCCCTCTGGAAACGCCCTTCGCGGACAGAGGCGACCAGAAGGGCCGGTCAAGCGCCCGGCGCGCCCAGGCTTCCAGCTTCCCAAACTCATCGTTCCGCCTCGGGCCCCCAGCGGCCACTCACCCGAATGAAGGCCGCGACTACTTCGGTGGCAGCGGCGACGCGCCACTTCCCTGCACGGACGTCCACCCCAGGCGACTCGCATCAGCTGAGCTTCCAACATAAACCTGGGAGCAGCAGCCGGGCTCCACCCCTCCCCGCTCCGCCTCGCCCCGCCCCGGCGGAAGTGACGCGCACGCGGCCCGCGTCGGCCCGCCCACCCGGGGAGGAGCGCTTCCGATTCGCTCGGGCCTCTGCCTCCCCTTCGGCGGCCGCGCCTCCCCCGCCCGGAGACATGCGCAGTAGAGCGTGACTGAGCGCGAGGCGGCGGCGTGCGAGTGGGCGTGCGTGTGGGCACGCGCCCGCCAGCGCCTGGAGCGGCGCCACGAGGGGGCGGGCGAGGGAGTTTGTTTTCTTCTGTTTCTGGGCCTCCATCCCCCGTCAGCTGACCGCAGCCTCCGTGCCCATGTCCTTGAGGGCCCTGGCTGCGTTTTGTCTGGACCTGGGAGCTGGACGCTGGGTTGCTGACCGCCCAGGGGGTGGCGAGCAGCAGGCGCCCGCGCCCCTAACGCTGAGCCGGCACCTTACCCGGGCTTGGCCACCAGACCAAACACCGCTGGGAGACGCCTGCACCTATATTAGCTCATTGAAAGGGAGCCTGCGGAGTTAGCATGCACCGCCCCGCAGGAAGCCCCACACTTACACTTACATGTTCCTAATGCTGACATTCTGTGCACACCAGGTCAGCAAACTAGAGATGGCCCTTAGGGCAAATATGGCCCACTCCCTCTTTTTTTTTTTTTTTTTTTTTAATCCTCATCCGAGGATATTTTTCTACTGATTTTTAGGGAGAGTGGAAGAGAGAGGGAAAGACAGAGAGAAACACATGGATTGGTTGCCTTCTAGACCGGGGCCCCAGCGGGGAGAAGCCTGCAACCGTACATGCCCTTGACGGGAATCAGACCTGTGACCCTACAGCCCGCAGGCCCGCACTCTATATCCACTGAGCCAGAACGCTGCTGTGTGTGTGTGTGTGTGTGTGTGTGTGTGTGTGTGTGTGTGTGTGTGTGTGAGTGTGTGTGACGTCTGTGAGCTAAGAATGGTTTTTACATTTTTCTCAGTGGTTAAAAGAAAGAAAAAGAATGCTTTGGGAGACATGGCAATGACATGAAATTCAGATTCGTTGTCCATAAAAAGAAAAGTTTGATTAGAACACAGCCATGCCCATTCTTTTATATGCCAAGCAGCTTTCATGCGACAGCACTGAATTTGGGTAGTTACAACAGCGTCCCTTACTCTCTTGAATTGACCTTAAAAATCAGTGGAGGTTAGGAAACACACAAAAGTGTCATTACTAGACTGCAAACTAAAAAGGTTACCATGACTGTTACTCTCTCCCCCTAGACTCACACGGCTCATGGGTGCTAGCTTTAGCTCCCTGTAAGATTATGTGAAGCCTTTTAGGAAGGAATTGTATGAGCTGCCAAATGTAGTGTTAAACTGACATTACTGTTATTATTACTCGTTATTATTATTTATTATGAGGTGACAGCCAGCTTGCTAGGCTTTTGGGGCACAAATGGATGGATTCTATACTTCATAATGCCTGGCAAACCCCTGCAGTACATAATCCAGACATGTTATTTAGCTATACAATAGTTAAAAGATATATGCACAAATTAAACTTTAGAGGCATATGGAAGTATCTTCAGTTTTGGAGAAATGTTTCTCCCTATTATTAAAGGAAAAATTATTCCTTTACCTTGTTATTCTTTAGGCTTGTTAAAATGATAAGGAAGACTTCATTTAGGACTAGTGGCTGTAGGTGCCAATACTGTAATAGGGAAGACAGTTGAGCCTCAATCATGAATACAGCAAAGACAGCTGGAGATGTACATTCAGTGAGCAGAGTGAAAGAAGTCAGTGGATGGAAAATAACTAAGAGGGGACATTAAGTGTAGGGGTGATTCTTACTAAACAGACCTTACAGAATTCTTGCTGGAGATAGACCAGTGTGACCAGATATTAAGGGTGAGAAATGAGAGATTTGATCAGATACCAACGATGATAAGATAGCAAGGTGGGAAATTCTCTCTAAACTGACTTAACAGGATTCTTGCTAAAACTGGACTTGGCAGGCCAAAGACAAGACCCAGGCAAGAAGTCTGGAGAAGGTAGATTTCATTCTGAAGCCTCTTCTCTTGGCTTGTAGGTGGCCACCTGCTGGCTGTGGGCTCACATGACTTCTTCATTATGCGTCATGGCTCAAGAGTACAAATGTTAAGAAAGGGAAATTACGCTGGATGATCCAGGTTGGCTCAATCTAAATCACATGAGCCATTAAAACAGAGAACTTTCTCAGACTGGAAGCAGTAGAAGCGTGACAGAGGGTAGTCATAGATATTCATGAGTGGTAGGGGTGGTGGGGACAATTTGACAAGAAATGCAGGGGGCTTAGAGAGCTAAGAGATGTGTTCTGGCTGATAGTTAGCAAGAAAATAGACACTTTAGCTCTACAGTTACAGGAAGCTAAATTGTGCCAACAACCTACATGACCTTTAAAAGAATTTATTGCACCAGAGCCACCCGATAAAAGCCTAGGCTGACTGATATCTTGACTTTGACCTTGTGAGACCTGTTGCAGAGGAACCAGTTGACCCTATCTGGACTTCTGACCTGCAGAATTGTGTCATAATACCTCTGAGCTGTTCCAAGTTACTAAATGTGTGCTATTTTGTTTCAGCAGCAATAGGAAAATTAATATAATTACCTTCATGTAGTTTGAGGAAATGAAGGCAAGGACTTTGTTTTGATCCTTAGCTCTTAGGCCTGGCATTTAGTAGGTACTCAGTAAATATTTGACGAATACATCTTGATTGAATTAGATTCATTGATTCAACAGTTATATTCTGAGTACCTATCAAAAAGCATCAAGCAATTTGATAAAAAAATAAAATAAAATTGAAGAATCTTCACAGAATTCATGGCATACATTTAAGTAATTATACTACTAATGTGGAAAGAGCGCTAACAGGGATATGCATCTCTGAGTAAGAACTCAGAGCAGGTATACCCAGCCCAACCTGTGGAGTTAGGAAAACTTACTTGGAGAAGGAATTTCTGAGCTGAGTCTTAAAAGATGAAGTTGTTAGCAAGACAGATGACAGCAGTGGAGGTGGTAAAGGTGTGGAAGAAGAGAAATAGCTTGACAGAGAGAATAGACAAAGGCAATGAGATAAACAATACAGTTACTGAGTACTCACAGGAATGCACGAAAGGAACTATGATCTTTTCCATGTTGCTGGTCCTGGAAATGTGATATGAGTTGCGGGTTAGGGGGACCTGGCAGAGCTTACACTTAATATTCTGGGTAATCAGAGTCATTGTTAGATTTTTAAGGCAAAAGAGTACTATGGTCAAATTTATGTTTTAAGTAGATTTTTTTGGGCATCATGAGAGGTCGAGATTTGGGGGAAATGAGCTCTGTTCTTGTTATCTATTTTCCTATTTAATCTATTCTTTCTTCACCCAAGAGTTTGCCTGTATCAACTTTGAAACAGTTCATCCAACTTCCTGCTGGGACATACCCCCAGGAGCTAAACCAGTTGTATTAGGTAATTTTCTGGTTGAACAAAGAATAGTTTTAATAGAAAATTTCTATCCCAGCTTTTAGCATAAAAGTAACAACACAAAATTAAAATCTTAAAGACACAAATAATCATATTTTGTTTAACTTGTGTTTGAATCTGAGTTATATTTTACTTTTTATATTTTTGTAGATAATTTCTTTACTTCATACATATTTGTACACCATGATATCCAGTTAAAATTTTATTTTATTTTAAAATATGTTTTTGTTGATTTTTAGAGAGAGAGGAAGAGAGAGAGATAGAAACATCAATGAGAGAGCTGCCTCCTACACGCCCCCCACTGGGGATTAAACCTGTAATCCAGGCATGTGCCCTGACCCAGAATCACACTGATGACCTCTTGGTTCCTGGGTCAATGCTCAACCACTGAGCCACACTAGCCAAACCTCAGTTAAAAATTTAGCAAAATCTTAAAATGCCCTAATATTGAAATTTATTGTCATTTTCATATAGACTACTATCAATATTTCTGTTCTTAACTTCAGAGTTAAGACAGGATTGGAGCCCTAGCCTTATTTACCTTTTACTGTTTGGGAGACTTTGAGGAAATAACTTCTGCAAGCCTTTCTTTTTTCATCAGTAAAAGTTCTCAAAATCCAAATTTAATCACCTGAGGTTATTATGATGTACAGCCAGGGGATGCGGTGCTGTGATTGGACAGCACGGTAAGGCTACCCTAGGCTGTTGGGTTATTTAGAAAACAGCATCTCCCGCCGAATCTGAATTGGCAGAAAGGTTTTGCCCAGAAGAAGGAGAGGAATGCAGAAGAACAAAATGGCTGAGCACACAGCAAGCAGATAAGATACGAATGAGTCAGTCCCTACATGCAAGTACCCTCTCCTTTAGTGGTTTTACAATCTCTAAGCACTTGAAGATTTGTCAGAGATTAGCACTGGAAAGTACATCACTTGTAAAAAGCATGGGCTTTGAAGCTGGACAGACTTAAATTCTTGTTTTTGCTTTGCCACTTACTTGAGCAACTCCTGAAAAATATATCCTTCTGTTTACAAGTAAATTTGGATCCAGTTTGAGACAGAAAGTAAATTTTTGAAAGGCAGTAATACTTGCTTGTATCATCTCATAAAATCTCGAAAGTATGGATTTCAGAGCCATATGAACCAGAGTTATTTTCTCTCTCCCAAAATGATGGTGGGCACACGTTGTAACCTCCTGAGTCTTATTTTTCATATCCAAAAGAAAAAAAGGGTACAATAATACCAATCTTACAGGATTTTTACAGTGGTGTATATGAGATAATATATGTGAAATGCCTAGTACTTAAAAAAAATATTTATAGTACACTTTTTATGACTTGATCATTGTAGAAGTCTTTGAATACATATGGTCAATAAAAGAGATGTGGTCCCAGCTCCTCTATGAACACAGAGAATATACTCAGTAAATTTTGTTAATATTACTAGCATATCAATACCAATTCAATGGGGCTGAAAAGAAGTACATAGGGTTCAAGGGATGTTATTTGAAGTAAGAGGCTAGCCTGAAGCAATGCAATAGGATGC